CGGGAGGCAGCCGGAGCCATTCCCAAGCCCCCCGCGCGGCAGCAGCAGCAGCAGCAGCAGCAGCAGCAGCAGCAGCGGGGAGGGGGGGGAGGGGAGGAGGGGCTGAGGCGGGAACGGAAACAGCAGCAACTTGCTGGTGCCTCCGGTTCTGCTGCCGCTGCAGCTGCTGCTGCTGCTGCTGCTGCAGTACAGGGCCTGCTGTGCGGGGTCGGGGACGGGCGTAGGCCGCAGCAGCAACGGCAGCAGCAGCTGCTGCTGCTGCTGTTGCCGCCGCCGGCAAACTACCAGCCGCGAGTTCGCGCTGCAGCAGCAACAGCTCTGCTGCTGCTGCTCGGAAAACCAACGGGCCGCAGCAGCAGCTGCTGCTGCTGCGGAGGCGGCAGCCGCACGAATTGGAGGCACACAGAGGCGACCAGTGCAGCAGCAGCAGCAGCAGCAGCTGCAGCTGCCAAAGCAGCAAATATTAGAGAAGATAAACAAAAATTAACAAAGGTGGGATTTGCTGTTGTAAGCCAAAAGGTAAAGAGCAGCAGCAGCAGACAGCAGCCAGCAGCAGCCAACCCCAGCCCTTTAAGCGGGAGCCGCAGCAGCAGCAGCAGCAGCAGCAGCCACTGCTGCTGCTGCTGCTGCCGCGACGCTGTGTCGCCTGCTGTCGCTGCTGCTGCTGCTGCACAGCTGCTGCTGCCTATTATGTAACAGCGTGGATTCTATAAAGAAAAACAAAAACAAAAGCAGAGGAAGACAGAATTTACAAGAAGTTTTAAGCAGCAGCAGCAGCAGCAGCAGCGGCGGCCGAAGCGAGCAGCAGGGGCAAGCCTTTGCACAGAACAGCAGCAGCAGCAGCAGCTGCTGCAATTCAAACAACAGCAGCAAATCGAAAAGCTGCTGTTCACCACAGTGTGTGCCAGCGCTTTCGTGTCTGCCTGCCTAGTTGCTGCAGCAGCAGCTGCTGCTGCTGCCACTGCTGCTGCTGCTGCTGCTGCAGAAGGCAACTGGCCTTCGCGCCGCTAGAACACTAACCCCACAAAAAGGAGGAGCTGCTGCTGCAGCAGCAGCAGCAACACCAGCTCTTGAGGACGCTGCAGCAGCGGCAACAACGGCGCGATCAACTGCAGCAGCAGCAGCAGCAGCAGCAGCAGCAGCAAAATGGACCTTCATTTGTCGCGGCTACACAGCTCCGCCCTTTCAGACACGGAAAGGCTGGTCGCCTTCCTCAACAAGACTGGTACTGCTGCTGCTGCTGCTGCAGTTGCTGCTGCTGCTGCTGCAGTTGCTGCTGCTGCTGCTGCAGTTGCTGCTGCTGCTGCTGCAGTTGCTGCTGCTGCTGCTGCAGCTGTCGCACTTGCTGTTGCGATTGCTGCATTTCTCCCTCGCAGCGCCCCGCCCGCTGCAGCTGCTGCAGCCGCATGTGGGGTGCCTGCTGCTGCTAATGCTGCTGCTGCTGCTGCTGCTGCTGCTCATGCTGCTGCTGCTGCTGCTGCTGCTGCAGAGGGGAGGGACAAGGCCACAAAGGCGCTGCAGTACGGCTGCCGGCTGCTGGCGTGGGCGTCGAGCAATTCGAAGATATCGGAGAAGTTTGCCTCCCTTTACAGTAAACCCTAAACCCTAAACCCTAAACCCTAGTGGCTTCTCGAGACAGGACTGCAGCTGAAGCCTGGGGTTCGCTGCAGCTGCTGCTGCTGCTGCTGCTGCTGCTGCTTCAAAAGTCAAACCGTCGGGGGTTTGTCGTGGCGGCGGGCCGCGACGCCGCTGCGCAGCCGAGGGCAAACCCTAAACCCTAAACCCTAATTTGTGGTTTGCGCAGGGGCGAGCGCGGACAGCCGCAAGTTGTTTCGCCTGGGCAAATTCGTGAATGAATATTTGCTGCTGCTGAAGCTGGCTGCAGCAAAGACGCCGGACAGCGACACGAATAGAAAGATACAAGTACCCAAACCCTAAACCCTAAACCCTAATTCCTCAAACCCTAAACCCTAAACCCTAATTCCCCCTCGCTGGAGGCCCAACCCCCCTCCATCCGTCTTTTCCCCTCACCCTCAAGCCCCCCGCCGCAGACCCAGCCTCCAGGCCCAGGACTTAGGGTTTAGGGTTTAGGGTTTAGGGTTTAGGGTTTAGGGTTTAGGGTTTAGGGTTTGCTGCAGCTGCTGCAAGCGCTGTGCCGCGCGGCCTTCTTTTGCTACTGGGTGACTGACAACGCTTTCATTCTTTCGAAGCTGCGGGTGCTGAGCAGAGACTCCCAGAAACTCGCCAGACTTTCGGGACTCTTCTGGTGCTGCTGCTGCTGCTGCTGCTGCGGCTGCTGCTGCTGCTGCTGCTGCTGCTGCTGCTGCGGCTGCTGCGGCTGCTGCTGCTGCTGCTGCTGCTGATGGTGGTGGTGGTGGTGGTTTTGGTGGTTATGGGGGGGTGATGAGGGTGCTGCTGCTGCTGCTGGGCAGGAGGGGATGGCGTGATGATGAGGCTGCTGCTGCTGCTGCTGCTGCTGCTGCTGCTGCTGCTGCTGCAAGCGGGGCGGGAAGAATGTGGCGGTTGTTTGCTGCAGCTGCGCCGCTGCACCTGCTCACGCTGCTGCTGCTGCTGCTGCTGCTGCTGCTGCTGTTCAGGCTGGTGGCTCTGCTGGCGGGGGTGTACTGCGAGGTGCTGCGGCTGCGCGCAGCAGCAGCAGCAGCAGCAGCAGCAGCAGCAAATAAGGACGCGGACAGCAGCGAGGGAAGCAGCTCTAAGGAAGCAGCAGCAGCAAATCTGCAGCTGCAAAGCACCAGAAGAACCATCCAGCTGAACCTGTTGAAGCAGTGCTGTACGCACTAGCTGCTGCTGCTGCTGCTGCTGCTGCTGCTGCTGCTGCTGCTGCTGCTACTAGTGCTGCTGCTGCTGCTCTGCTGCTGCTTTGGCCTCTGTGAATCCGATATGAATACTGCTTGGCAGCATATTCGTATCTGTTTATTTTAATTTATTATATTTAATTTATTTTATTTATTTTAATTCATTTTAATTCATTTTAACTTATTTTATTTTATTTCTTTTATCTTCACCAATTCCATTTCTTCCATTTCTCTTTCCTTCACTTATCTGAAGTCAACGCGAATTCGAATGAATTCTTCTCTTTGCTGCTGCTGTTGCTGCTGCTTCTGCTGCTGCTGCGGCTTCTGCTGCTGCTGCTGCTGCTGCTGCTGCTGCTGCTGCTGCTGCAGGTGACCTGCCTGCAGCAGCAAACATGGCGGGGCTGACAGCTCTGCTGCTGCGCCGCAACTTCAGCGACGGCTTTGTGGGAGCAACAGGACTTTTGTCGGCTTTGATTTCTTGCCACCAGCTTTACTAGGCCGCGCGAGAGCTAGCTAGCCGTCTAGCTAGCTAGCTAGCTAGCTAGCTAGCCAACTGGCTAGCTGGCTGGCTGGCTGGCTAGCTAGCTGGCTAGCTAGCGGGCTAGCTGGCTACCTAGCTCGCTGGCTAGCTAGCTGGCTAGCTAGTTGGCTAGCTAGCTAGCTGGCTACCTAGCTCGCTGGCTAGCTAGCTGGCTAGCTAGCTGGCTAGCTGGCTAGCTGGCTACCTAGCTCGCTGGCTAGCTAGCTGGCTAGCTAGCTAGCTGGCCAGCTAGCTACATGCAGTGGCGGCTTGCCAGAAGCCCTGCAGTGCTCTAGTAAATGATGCTTCAGCATCGTCCAATAGCAGCAGCAGCTGCAAGCAGCAGCAGCAGCAGCAGCAGCGACCAGCAGCAACAACACACTGGAGACAGAAGCAGCAGCGAGAAAAGCAGCTGCCTGTCAGCTGCTGTCGCTGCTGCTGCTGCTGCTGCTGCTGTGCACAGATGCGCAGCAACTGCTCTTTAGATAATCTATTACAGTGATGAGGCGCTGCAAGTAGCAGCTGCAGCAGCAGCTGCTGCAGCAGATGCTGCTGCTGCTGCAGCAGATGCTGCTGCTGCTGGAGCGGGGTATGTGGAGTCCCGTGAGCAGTGCAGCTTCGCGGCTCCACAGCTAGCTAGCTAGGCAGCTAGCTGCCTGGCTAGCCACCTACCTATGTAGCCAGTTCCATGCGTATATACCTGTCTAGCTAGTTGTTTGGCCGGCTAGCTAGCTAGCTACCTAGCTAGCCAGACAGCTAGCTAGCTACCTAGCTAGCCAGACAGCTAGCTAGCTAGCTAGCTAGCTGCTGAGGGGGGAAGCTGTGGGGGTGGCTGCGAGACGCAGCCGACGGCTAGTTGCAGCTAGCCCTAAGGCGGGCGCAGCTAGCTGGCTAGCTTGTTAGCTCGCTAGCTGGCTGCAGCTATCTAGCTAGCTACGGCTAGCTGGCTAGCTGCAGCTATCTAGCTAGCTACGGCTAGCTGGCTAGCTGCAGCTATCTAGATAGCTACGGCTAGCTGGCTAGCTGCAGATATCTAGCTAGCTACGGCTAGCTGGCTAGCTGCGGCTAGCTAGCTAGCTACGCCTAGCTAGCTAGCTGCGGCTAGCTAGCTAGCTGAAGCAGCAGTATTGCCTATGGCTCGCTTAACGGCTCAAGACGCCTGAATGCCCCGTAAAAACAAAAAGGGAAAAATAATTTGAATTTTAAGAAAATAAATTAAAAATAAATGCGAAATTATAAAACTTTTCATTTTTCGAAATTAAATTTAAAAATAAATGCAAAGTTATGAACAAATTGTTTTCATTTTCGTTTTGTTTCCCCCGAATGGAATGGAGTGGCGGGAGGAGCTGCTCTGGTGTCTGTTTTAGCCGATGTCAGTGACAAACGCGAATTTGAATTAATTTTAAATTTTGAATTTAATTAAATTAAAATAAAAAATTAATTTTAAATAATAATTGAAGTTAGAAGAATAAACGCAGAGATGCATCTGCAGATCTGCGGGAAAACATGAGAAGATCCGGCACCCGCAGTGATGCAAGATGATGTTTGCTGCGGCAAAAACGCGGAAACGGCCCGTTTTTTCATTTATTTTAATTAATAAGTTGAAATAAAAGAAAATATAATTCAAAATGAACATAAATTGAGGCGAAGAAGCGAAAAAAGAAGTAATTCAAACAGCCCACGCCCCATAACCACTCCTCCCGGTCTGGGTGTATGCGCAGCTGCAGGCCGTGCGAGCAGCAAAACGAAAAGAAAAAGAATTCATTAATCATTAATAATAAAACTTAAAAAACTAATTTATATTTCTTCAAAAAGGAGTTAAGTTGGATTTGCCACAACGCATCCACAGCAGCAGCAGCAGCAGCAGCAGCAGCAGCAGAAACTGCAGCAGCAAGTGTGCACAGATGCAGAGGAGTGCTACGTAGTTTAGAAAGACGACAAAAGCTATACTCCGCCTCTTCAGCCGGGTCTTTGTATGGCGGTTTGGGGTTTAGGGGCCCCAGTGAGGGTTTAGGGTTTAGGGTTTAGGGTTTAGGGTTTAGGGTTTAGGGTTTGGGAGGCCGCCGTGCCGATGTAGCTCAGTCGGTAGAGCGCGAGGCTCTTAACCTCGTGGTCGCGGGTTCGAGCCCCGTCGTCGGCTTTAATTCTTTTCATTAGCTTTTGTCTACACAAACCCTAAACCCTAAACCCTAAATCAGGGTTTACTCGCGAGACACGCGCGCTATACAGCAATTTCGGGTTTAGGGCCCTCTCAAGCGGGCTCTTCTTACTCTGTAGCCACGCTCAGCAGCAGCAGCAGGTGCAGCAGCAGCAAGAACAGCAGCAGCAGCAGCACATGCAACAGCAACACTGAAATCTGAACGAAAAACGCCTCCTGCCGAGAAAAGCTGTAAACCCTAAACCCTAAACCCTAAACCCTGAGGGTTTAGAGTGCTGCAAGCCGCAGCAGAACAGCAGCATGCGGCCAGGCATGATGTCCTGCCCCCCGCAAGAGGAGCAGCAGCAGCAGCAGCAGCAGCAGCAGCAGCAGCAGCAGCAGCAGCAGCAGGACGTCGACGGCAGCGCGGAAACGCGCCAGCCAACGGCTGCACACCCCGCTGCAGCAGCAGCAGCAGCAGAAACAGCAGCAGGAGCAACAACAACAACAACAGCAGCAGCAGCAACAACTGCAGCAGCAGCAGCAGCAACAACTGCAGCAGCAGCAGCAGCAGCAAGTCTGCTTCCTTGGCAGCAGCGCACTGCTGCTCTCGTGACCGACTCGAGCTCGGAGGGCGCCCTGTCGCCGCGCGCGGCAGCAGCAGCAAAACAAGCAGCAGCAGCAGCAGCAGCAGCAGCAGCAGCAGCAGCAGCAGCAGCACCTTTTTCTTTCTTTGTCAAGAAGCAGCAAACAAGGGCCATGCTGCTCGCCAGGGGCCCCCCAGGCCGCCCTTTAGCTGCCAGCCAGCGGCTGCCTCTTGCTGCTGTGCTGCAGTGCCTGGCGGTGGTTTGGCAGGCCGCCTAAACCCTAAACCCTAAACCCTAAACCCTAAACCCTCGAGGGGCTAGCAGCAGCAGCAGCAGCAGCAGCTGCTGCTGCTGCTGCTGCAGCGACAGGCAGAGCGCTGGTCTGCGGAAGAAGACTGCCGCAGAAGGAGCTAGCTACAGCAGCACTAGGAGCAGCCGCAGCAGCAGCAGCAGCAACAGCAGCAGCAGCAGCGACAGCAAAAGCAGCAGCAAAGGCAGCAGCAAGGAGCGCCGCAGCAAGGAGAGCAGCAGCAGCTTCAGCACAAGTGCAGCTAATGGATATTCTTCGGGAAATAATAAAACTAAAAGTTGAGACTGTTGAGGCTCAGCTAGCTAGCTAGCTAGCTAGCTAGCTAGCCAGTTATAGCTAGCTAGCTAGCTAGCCAGTTATAGCTAGCTAGCCAGTTATAGCTAGCTAGCAGCTGGCTAGCAGCTAGCTAGCTGGCAGCTAGCTGCCGCAGCGGCTGGCTGAGGGGTGGCTGGCTAGCTAGCTGCTGTCGACCTGCAGCAGCGGCTAGCTGAGCTGCAGCTAGCTAGCTAGCTAGCTAGCTAGCTAGCTAGCTAGCTAGCTGCTGTTCTGCCAATCTGCTGCAGCAAAACTGCCGAAGGCGGGGAGGCGCTGCAGCTGCCTAGCTTGAAACCTTCAGAAGCAGCAGCAGCAGCAGCAGCAGCAGCACATTATATTGTAGCAACAGTAGCTCATCATATAGCAGCAGCAGCAGCACATTTGTAGAGCTGCAGCAGCAAAAGCACGGATTTGGCGCAGCAGCAGCAGTAGCAGCAGCAGCTGCTGCTGCTGCTGGCAGCAAAGGCGTGGGGGCTCACCGCAGGCACTTTGCGGGTCTTCTTGAAGCTCGTTAGCAGTTCAGACATCGCCTTCTGAAGCAGCAGCAGCAGCAGCAGCAGCAGCAGCAGCAGCAGCAACGGGGAGCCGCAGCAGGCGTTTGCAGCTGTAGAGAGCACTGCCCTGCGTGGCAGTGGCACCCACAAAGCTCTATTTAGGGTTTAGGGTTTAGGGTTTAGGGTTTGGGGCTTGCCTGCGTCTGGATTTGTTTTCCCCTTGCCTTTTGGTTCGCCCTCTGCGGCCACAGCAGCAGCAGCAGCAGCAGCAGCAGCAGCAGCAGCACTAGAATGCGTCTTGTCTTTCAAGCTGAGACAGCACCTTCAGCAGCAGCAGCAGCAGCAGCAGCAGCAGCAGCAAAGCGCCGCAGCGGTAGCACCAAAACGCGGCTTCTCAGCAGCAGCAGGAACAGAAGGCGGGAATAGCAGCAGCAGCAACAGCAGCAGCAGCAGCAACAGCAGCAGCAGCAGCAGCAGCAGCTGTACCATCAGCTCATCTTTTTTCTTGAGGAAGCAAACTGTTTGTATCTGCAGCCGATGCTTCTCCTGAGCTGCCAGCTGCAGCAGCAAATACACGCCATGCAAGCTGCTGCTCATCTTTTTTCTTGAGGAAGCAAACTGTTTGTATCTGCAGCCGATGCTTCTCCTGAGCTGCCAGCTGCAGCAGCAAATACACGCCATGCAAGCTGCTGCTGCTGCTGCTGCTGCTGCTGCTGCTGCTGCTGCTTCCAGCAAACGTGCTGCTGCTGCTACAGCTGCCAGCACAGCTGCTGCTGCTGCTGCTGCTGCTGCAGCCTCACCTGCCACGCTTGCTGCCTCTTCGTCACTTCAGCTCGCTGGAGACAGCACAAATGGGGCTCACAAAAACCCTAAACCCTAAACCCTAAACCCTAATTGGTCAGCACAGGTGGAGCCTCGCTAAACCCTAGACCCTGAGCAATAAACCCTAAATAAGCAGCACGAAAAGAATACCTTTTTATGTGCATTTAGCGCAGTCCTTTGTGGTTTAGGGTTTGGGGTCTAGGGTTTAGGGTTTAGGGTTTAGGGTTTACAGTGTTTCTGATGCGCAGGTGGAGGCGAGATATTTCTTTGCTGACCAGCTCATTTTCCCGTTTCCTGTTGAAGCAGCAGCAGCTACAGCAGCAGCAGCTACAGCAGCAGCAGCTACAGCAGCAGCAGCTACAGCAGCAGCAGCTACAGCAGCAGCAGGAAGAGGGCCAGCAGCAGCAGCATTAGCAGCAGCAAGGGCCACAGCACTTGCCCTGCCAACCCCGTGCATGTATTTCACGAGGGTTTAGGGTTTAGGGTTTAGGGTTTAGGGTTTGTTACAGGCCGTCTCTGTGACGCTTAGTGGACAAGAGGCGAGACTCCTCTTCTTCCTTTTCTTTTTTCTCTGCGCAGTTAACCACTAAACCCTAAACCCTAAACCCTAAACCCTAAACCCTCAAAGACCACCCCTACCTCTTAGTGCTGGCAACGCCGGCTGCTGCACTTCCTGCGGTCTTTCTGAAGTAGGCGCTGAGGGTTTAGGGTTTAGGGTTTGGGGTTTGAAACAGAGGGTTTAGGGTTTAGGGTTTGGGGTTTGAAGTAGAGGGTTTAGGGTTTAGGGTTTGGGGTGCGGACCTGCGGCCTTTCTGAAGTAGGCGTTGAGGGTTTAGGGTTTGGGGTTTGAAGTAGAGGGTTTAGGGCTTAGGGTTTGGGGTGCGAACTGGAGGAATTAGGGTTTAGGGTTTAGGGTTTAGGGTTTAGGGTTTACCTGTGGCTAACTCTCTGCGTAAAGCCTTCAGCTTATTTCCTTTAGAGGCGTTGAAGGCTTTTAGCGAAAGCTGTTCTTCTTTTGTCTCACTTAGCTTCTCCCTGCAGCAAACCCTAAACCCTAAACCCTAAACCCTAATCCGGTGGCGCTAGGACAGCCCCCGAGGGTCCCCTCTGTAGAAACCCTAAACCCTAAACCCTACGCCCTAGACTGAAGCTGAAAAAGGGCCTGACTACCGCACAGTGCGCGTGTTAGAGGGTTTAGGGTTTAGGGTTTAGGGTTTAGGGTTTGCGAAACCTCAGCTGCGCGACGAGAGAGGTTAGGGTTTGCAGCTCTTCTGCCTTTCGAGTTGCTTCTTCTATTATTTTTGTAAACCGCAAATTTGCTGCTGCTGCTTCTGCGCTCAGCGCAGCTCTGAGGCGGCTGCTGTCAATGAGCGGGCCCTCCCGCGTCATTTTGCTGCTGCTGCTGCTGCTGCTGCTGCTGCTGCTGCTGCTGTGGCTGCGGGGGCTGCTGAGTTGCTGCTGCTGCTGTGGCTGGGGCGGCGGCTGAGTTGCTGCTGCTGCTGTGGCTGCTGCTGCTGCTGTGCCCGTGGCCGCTGCTGTGGCTGTGGCTGCGGCTGTGGTTGCTGCTGTGACGATTGCAGCAGCAGCTGCTGCTGCTGCTGCTGCTGCTGCTGCTGCTGGCTTATTCCGATCTTGTGGCCACTGCGGCTGCTGCTGCTGCCAAGAGGCTCCCTGAGGAGATCGAGAGCAACAGATGTTATTCTGCTGCTGCTCCTGCTGTCGCTGCTGTTCTTGCTGCTGCTGCTCCTGCTGTTCCTGCTGCTGCTGCTGCTAGCTGCTGCTGCTCCTGCTGTTCCCGCTGCTGCTGCTGCTGCTAGCTGCTGCTGCTAGCAGGCAAACACCCACCGCTGCGCAATAGGAGGGCATGCGCAGCAGTGGAGGGCTTTCAAGTCCCAACCCGTATGGTGCAAACCCTAAACCCTAAATTGTAAACCCTAAACCCTTTTTTCTAAACCACAAACCCTCAGTTTGCAATTTGCTGGGGTGCGGAGCTGCTCCG